CAGGGGGACAGTATTTTTTCATCCCAAGCAGGTTATGACAATGGGGGGGATCATCTGAGCTGCAAGGGGAGGACAGAGAAGAAAGTGAGGGAACAGCTGAGCCCTGCGGGCCATTGGGTGAGATCATCTCCAGGACAGTAAAGTGCAGCTGTGGGAGGCCACCTCCTCCAGCCAGCTCCACGGTGTGCTGGCCAGCAAGTGACACTGATGGCTGCCATCTCAAGTGGGATTAGCAGTGCTGGGTCATTCCCAAAACCTGGTGTGTGAGCACTTGAAGCTTTGGCAAACAGGGCTGGCCCAGAGGGAGCTGCATTCTCCACACAGTGCCAGGGTGGCCTTTCCATGCTCCCATTTGCCCCTTCCATGCTCCTCTCCAGGTGTCAGGGCAGAATTCAATCTCCAGCTGCCCAGAAAGCCAGGACCAATGAGGTGTGAGGATCCTGGGGTCAGCTAACTAACACAGTGGCTGCAGGGAAGGCTTGTGTGGGATACCTGGACAAGGGCACAGGGCCAAAAGGATTTCAGAAGAGCTGAGGATCCAAGTCTGGCTCTCAGCACAAAACCATTGAGAAGGTTGGAGCAAGAGCACGGGACGAAATCCCAGCTGCACTCTGTCATATGACACAGGCTGAGTCATTTCCTACCATTCAAAAAAAAATTAAAGAGATAGAAAATGACTTTGCTGTATTGACATCTGAGGGTTTTCCCCAAACAGAACCACAAGCTCCCAGTCCACCGCAGCGCAGCACGACTCACACATCCCAGCGCACTGAGCCAGCGTGGCCTGCTGAGGGCCTGGGATGCAGAGCCAAGGTGGGAAGCAGTCCATCCTCCTTCAGCCCAGTCCAGTTTGTCAGGATCCAGATGTCACAGGCTGGTGACAAAGACACCGTTTGCTTTCAGTCCTGGCCCAGCACAGCCCCTTCATTCTGCTCCAAACCATTCACCCGGCTCACAGGAAACCTCTTGCCTCTACGTCCATGGATCTACCTCAAAGGAGAAAGTGAGGGAACAGCTGAGCCCTGCGGGCCATTGGGTGAGATCATCTCCAGGACAGTAAAGTGCAGCTGTGGGAGGCCACCTCCTCCAGCCAGCTCCACGGTGTGCTGGCCAGCAAGTGACACTGATGGCTGCCATCTCAAGTGGGATTAGCAGTGCTGGGTCATTCCCAAAACCTGGTGTGTAAGCACTTGAAGCTTTGGCAAACAGGGCTGGCCCAGAGGGAGCTGCATTCTCCACACAGTGCCAGGGTGGCCTTTCCATGCTCCCATTTGCCCCTTCCATGCTCCTCTCCAGGTGTCAGGGCAGAATTCAATCTCCAGCTGCCCAGAAAGCCAGGACCAATGAGGTGTGAGGATCCTGGGGTCAGCTAACTAACACAGTGGCTGCAGGGAAGGCTTGTGTGGGATACCTGGACAAGGGCACAGGGCCAAAAGGATTTCAGAAGAGCTGAGGATCCAAGTCTGGCTCTCAGCACAAAACCATTGAGAAGGTTGGAGCAAGAGCACGGGACGAAATCCCAGCTGCACTCTGTCATATGACACAGGCTGAGTCATTTCCTACCATTCAAAAAAAAATTAAAGAGATAGAAAATGACTTTGCTGTATTGACATCTGAGGGTTTTCCCCAAACAGAACCACAAGCTCCCAGTCCACCGCAGCGCAGCACGACTCACACATCCCAGCACACTGAGCCAGCGTGGCCGGCTGAGGGCCTGGGATGCAGAGCCAAGGTGGGAAGCAGTCCATCCTCCTTCAGCCCAGTCCAGTTTGTCAGGATCCAGATGTCACAGGCTGGTGACAAAGACACCGTTTGCTTTCAGTCCTGGCCCAGCACAGCCCCTTCATGCTGCTCCAAACCATTCACCCGGCTCACAGGAAACCTCTTGCCTCTACGTCCATGGATCTACCTCAAAGCCCCTGTGATAACTCCTTAAATCCCACTCTGAACGTCGATTTAGCTTTGAAAGAAAAGCTGTCATCCACTGGAAGGGCACAGCCAGGCAGGAACCATTGCTCACTGTCCTTTCTCCAACAGATTAGGCACGGTCAGTACCTCTCTGCCTGCCAGGCTCATCCTGCGCTTCCCTCTCCATGGATTTCTCCCGCCATGACTCCGATCCCCACTGGGATCACTGCCCGCATGTCTCCACTCGTGGGTTTGGTGCTGGCCAAAGCACCTCTCCTGGGAAAGCCTCCTCATTGCTTGCAATGGCTCACAGAGGCAGCAGCTTCTCGGCTGGTTATTAAATGCCCCCCTCGGGTTGTCCTCGTTTGTTTGTTTCCTCAGAGAGCGCAGAGGGCAAACCAAGGCAGGGCCAGGGAGCGTGACACCATGTTAACCCTGGGGAGTGAGCTCTGCCATCTCCCCCTCGCCTGGCAGAGCAGCTCCGGGGCCACACGGCAGCTGAAGAGGCGGCTGCAGAGGCAGCGCACCCCGCAGCCATCCCACGCTCGCCTTTGTTCCACGGCTGGGAATGAAACCGCTTCCTACGCAGCCCGGCCGCGCGAGGCTCTCCTTCCTTCTTTCTGAGGGGGCTTTCCAGGAAGAGAAGTGCTGCAGCGCTGCAAAACCCAAACCACCCGGGCCTTGCCAAGCAGGCCTGCCACAACTTGCATCCCTCTCACCAGGACCCGCCTGCTGCACCTCTCGGGAGAGCTTTGTTTGCAGGGGACGGGCTCTAACAGCTCCGATGCACCAAACAGGCTACCTGTGCAAACAGGGCGGTGGGAGAGGGACTGCTCTGTCACCAGGAGTGCAGGCTGGCACTTGCTGCTTGCAGGCAGGGCTGGCAGCAGCCACCAGCCTTCTCCCTGCAGCTGGAGTCACCAGAGAGAGAAGCAGAGCATCCCCACACACACAGTGAGGCACTCGGGAGCTCTCAAGGCCCCTGCACTCCCCAGTGGAGTGGCAGAAGGGACATGGGGAAACCTGAGCAATGAGGAAAACCACAGCTGAGCTCTGTCACCAGGAGGGCAGGCTGGCACTTGCTGCTTGCAGGCAGGGCTGGCAGCAGCCACCAGCCCTCTCCCTGCAGCTGGAGTCACCAGAGAGAGAAGCAGAGCATCCCCACACACACAGTGAGGCACTCGGGAGCTCTCAAGGCCCCTGCACTCCCCAGTGGAGTGGCAGAAGGGACATGGGGAAACCTGAGCAATGAGGAAAACCACAGCTGAGATATCAAACACATGCCAGGTTGGGGTTTGCAGCAGGCTGGCAGCAACCACACTGCCCAGCCCTTTTTTTGGTGGCTGCTGGGGTAGATTCCCCCCACTATGGCCCTTACCAGCCTGCTGGGTCAGCCACTGGCACAGCCCGGGGGCAGGGAAGTGAAAAGCCCTGTTCAAGGTTACAAGAGAGTAAGGTTGTTCCCTGGGGTGGGAAACAGCTCATGGTGATCTTCAAAGCAAGAGCTGGTGGGCGGGTCAGATAGAGAGAAGTCCTGACCCTTCCACAATCTGTTGAACAAATATTTGCTCCAAACAATTAATTTAGAGACAGACACAAAAAAATTGAAGAGTCTGAATCGTGATGGTTGGGGGTGGGGAAGAGAGGGAGGAGGTATTTCATTCCCTGCAAGCAGGGACCAGTGATTTTCCACCAGTGATTTAATCTAAATCCCCCAGAGAGTTCATTTACAAAAAATCAGATTGCATTATCGCCTAGGTCTCCAGGATACAGCCCAATCCGTCACTAACAGCAACAGCCACACTAGCTTGGAAACCTCAATTTGATCACTCAATTCCAAGACTAATCTGTGGCTTTAAAAGCCAAAGGCAAAGGGAGGGGGAAAGAACTCCGGGTTTGGGCAGGGTTATCTGCAGGATGAGAGAGCTAATGGGGCAGATAGAGCCGGATGAAATGGCCAGCAGATCCCAGGTCATTAATCGAAACCAAGCTCCTCTGCCGGAGCAGCCCCACCCAGGCAGTGCCCCAGGGAGGCAGCATTCCTGGAATTCCTGCACCCTGGGTGAACCTGCTCCCTCTCTGGGTGCACTCAATTCACCTCTTCTCCTGGAACCCCAGCATGGAGGACCCAGGCCTCCCTGAGCAGGCACAAGATGCTGGGGAGCCCTGCAGGAGAGGGCAGAGCACAAGGCTGGGCTCAGAGGGTGCTGCCCCTTCCTCCAAACCTGCTGCTGCACCAGGAGATGAGCAGGGCTGACAAGCCTCAGCTCAGCAGCCTGCCAAGGAGGCAATTCCCCACCCCTGGCAATTCCCCATGGCTCAGATGCTAATGCCTGACAGCGTGAGCTCTTCCCAGTGGATGCCAGTAAAGGTTACCCCAGCAGGGAATCACCCAGCAAAAAGAAAACTCAAGTCACATCTGTAGGTTGTGTCCCTCCTGCCGGCAGTCCCAGGCAGCTCCACGCAGCCGGACCCGGCATTTCAGGAATGCTTCCTGGAGAAATGCTTATTCATGTTAATACCTCACCAGCAGAGCTGACCGGGTTTGCTGCCGGGGCAGCTGGGAGCATCGCTCCCTGCCAAGCCAGAAGCAGCTGCAGGGTCAGCAGCTCCCCAGCACAGAGGCTGTTCCCACCTCGCCAGCTCTGCTCTGGGATTGGCTTCACCCTCAGAGAGCCCTGACTCCCGAAGAAAGAAGTAGCTGTGACCCCAGCAGCACTGTGGGGAGAAGAGGAGGAAGCTCCACTCCCCGCTGTTAAATGACACCACGCCTGAGAGCAAGGGCTCTTGCCTGAAGAACAAGCTTGGGTGACACTAGATTTCCAAAAGCTCTGGGAAAACACGTCTGTTACATGGAGAAGGAGAAGAAACAGGGATGGAGAAGGACACTGAGCATAAACTGTCTGTGTCATTGTGGTGGATGGACCCTCCTGGGGCAGTGTTAAGAGGATGGGGAGAAAAGCCAGGTGCCCCTTCCCCTCCCTGCCAGATATGTGACAAGATCAACACTGCAGGGAGCTGGGCTGGCACTGCTGGGGCTGGGGGGGTCAGAACCCGGGGCAGCCATCCCCAGCAGCAAAAGCAGTTCTTACCCATCCGCCATTCTCCTGGATCCAGGGATCTAGGTGGTCGGTCAGGTAGGTGGTCATCCAGGACACGATGCGTCCCACCAGGACGCGCATCTCCTTGTCGACGCTCTCCACGCACAGGGCTCCCCCGAAGGAGAAGAAGGCCACGATGCGGCCCCAGTTCACCCCGTCGCGGAACAGTTCGTTCACCACCTGCTCGAAGCTCTGGTAGGCCGTGCCCAGGGTGATGTGGAGCTGGGAGGTGAGGTCGCTGAAGGCTCGTCGGTACCTCAGCTCAAACTCATCCCCTGCTTCCCGCAGCGCCTGCCTCACGTCGGCCGCTCGGACCATCTCGTGGACTTCCAGGCTGCTCCGGTGCACGGTGGCTCCGTTCACTACGTGGCTGGGGGGAGGGTGCCAGGAGGGGCTCCCGTTGAGGACACCATCCATCTCGGCCTCCTCTGCTGCAAAGTCAGTCCTGTTCTCGTCCTCCTCCTCCAGCTGGCTCCAGCTGTATCCCTTCTGCGAGAGCTTGTAGGAAACAAAGTCAATCACTAACTCCCGGTTACTGCTGGACATTTTCACACCTGGGGCGCCCTCAATGAGTCCATGGTCCGGAGCACAAGCAGATCAGCACTCAGCAGGTTCCAACTCCACTTTTCTTCTTCACGACCGATGGAAACATCTGACCTTTGCACAGACAAACACCCGAGGAGAAGAAAGGCAAAGAAACGGTTAATAATAGATGCACACGAACACCGATAGCTTATCGCCAGACCGAGATCGCCCCGCAGCTTTATGCCGCGGCTCAGGGCCACCGGATTGAAGCCGCACGGAGAACCG